CCCAAAATGAGGGACCTGGTGAAAAACTTGGATGTACCCAGGGCAAGCTGTAAGCTACGCCGGCATCAGAAAGGGAAAGGCTAAGCATCATAAGAAACACAATAAGTTAAGAGCATGGTCATGGAACAGACTCTGTCATGAGTTCCCCAAAAGTAATTGAATAAGGACCCTGCTAGGGTTAGCAAAGTATAACATGGCCTAAGGACTGTAGTTTAGGATATATAGCAAGATGTTCCCAGGAAGAGTCACCCTTTAAACTTAATATATCTCTTACTTGTGTTCATACAAAATGACTAGAATTGTTAGTAAGAAGTAAATTTAATATGATTGCTTAAGTGGATTACTAAGAAAAGGAGGAAGCAACATGCCGTTAGATGGAATCCCACCACTGAATGGATCTCCTACTAATCTAGAGTGCTGAATCCCCATATGAGGTTTTGTCCTTGAGTTAATCTCCTATAAGAGCTTCCCCTGAAGCAGGGGCTTCACATCTGTTTATTGCAGAGCCTGGCAAGCTCCCCGTGACATATTCGATATGCCAGACACAGTAACAACAAAGTCTCCAATGGAGACGTTACTGGGCCCACTCAAGCAAATCGATGATCAACGGGAGGGCCTTTATTGTTCAACCCCACCTATGTGATCCCCCACCCTTCATGATTTCTATATAACTAAACTGTGAGACTTAAATAAATGGCAATTGATTACCAACCAGCCTGTGGCCCCATTCCTTCGTTCCTCTGTTGTTGTAGGCTGGCCTAGGGAGACGGTTGTCAGTCATCGAACACACCCATGCATTCGAACTCAGTCTTTCCTACTTTTGATGTTTTGATTATTGCTAAGCTAATATGGGTACCTGAAATTTGATGTTGTATTTTGCTCCATTGTTCATCGATTTGCTCAAGCGGGCACCAGTAACAATTCCATTTGTGAGACTTGTTGTTACTGATTTTGGCATAATGAATATGCCATGGGGAATTTGCCAGGCTCTGCCATGCGGGCGGGATAATCTCCGTAGCTTGCCAGACTCTCCGAGAGGGATGTAGGGATTGAACTCAGGTCAGCCGCGTGCAAGGCAAATGCCCTACCCGCTGTGCTATCGCTCCAACCCAGTAGAAAACAGTATGGGTGTTTATTAAAATGTTAAAAATAGACCTGCCAGCAATTTCATTTTTAGGTATTTACCAAAACAAAGGAAAAAAATGACTCAAATATATATACACACATATATTAACTGTAGCACTAATTTCAACATTCAATATCTAGAAACAATTCAAGTGCCAAATGACAGATGAGTAGATAAAGAAGTTGTGGTATATGGCTCCAGTGGAGTACTACTCAGGTATGAGAAAAAAGGAAGCCATGCTTTTTGAAATAATATGGATGGAGGTGATTACACTAAGTGAAATAATTTAGGAGAAAGATGATCCTTTTACTGGATGATGCCATGTATATTTTCAATAAAGATAAGCAAAGCAAGGAGTAGGCCAAATCCAACAAAAGCAAACTCTTTGAAAATTATCCACAGAACTCAGAACTAATTGCTCCAGCAGATGCAGGGCAAAGGGAGACTATGGGGGTGATGGAGTCTAATGGACTATGGTGGAGGAATATTGGTACTTCGGGGGTAGGGGTAGTGTGGTAATATATACTTTGAAGAGGTGTAAAATCGTGCTGCTTAAACACAGTCCGTAAACTAATGATTTCTCATTAAAAATGTATATTAGGGGCTGGTGACTATATGGGAGAAGTGGGAAAGATTAAAAAGAGCAATGAAAAAATTCGGGGGGAATTTTAGACATATTTATTATCTTACTATGGTGAATCTCCTCCCCCTGTGCCAGGCTGTGTTCACCAGGGCACCTCGGAGCAGGGTGGGTTGAGTTTCCCTCCCTGCTCCAAGCAGAACCCTAGCAGCCAAAAATCTCCAGAACCCAGCAACAGTTATGCACAAGGCCACTCTCCACACGCTTGGACGAGCCTCATGCATGAAGGAACCGGCAGAGGAACCCAGGCATGCAGGACCCGTAGCTCAGATCTCCAAGCCAGCTTGGATTGGGACTAGGCCTTCTTCATCCAGATCCCCCATTTTCCAGTAGCTTGGCAGTCACACCCACAAACTGCCCCAGGCGCCATGTAACCTCATCAAAGGCCAAGATTCAGACTATGAAACAAAGCTCCTGAAAGAGAGCTTCGCAGTATTTCCTGGAGCCATGTAATCTCATCAATGGCCACACACCCACAAACTGCCCCCTCCCCCATGTAATCCATTACAAGCCAGTCGACCAAAAGTTTGCATTCAGAAGACTGGGAACACCTGTAAAGATGATTGAAGACCTCTCCAAAAGCCTCTGTCCCTCTCAGAGAGCCCGGCAAGCTACCGAGGGTATTCTGCCCGCATGGCAGAGCCTGGCAAGCCACCTGTGTTCAATATGCCAAAAACAGTAACAATAACAGGCCTCACTCCCCTGACCCTGAAAGAGCCTCTAAAATGGCAGTGTTGGGAAGGAAAGTAAGGAGAGGCTGCTAAAATCTCAGGGCTGGGACTAATGGAGACGTTACTGGGCCCACTTGAGCAAATCGATGAACAACGGGATGACAGTGATACAGTGATAGTATGGTGAGTTTCATGTGTATATGCATGTCAAAACATACCAAGTTGTGGAATTGAAATATGTGCAGTTCAGTGTACACCCAATTTATCTCAATCTATATTAAAAAGCACATAGCAGCTTCATATAACACAGGATGTAATCTTTTTTTATTAGTGAAATAACATGAGGTACAGTTGTTGACCTTACAAGTTTTTGTGCTTGGGATTCAGTTGTACAATGATCGAGTACCCATCCCTCCACCAGTGCCTGTTGTCCATCCCCAATGATCCCAGTAACCCTCCCATCCCTCCCACCCAACCCCATTCCATCCCACCTCTGTGGCAGGGCATTCCCTTTTGTTCTCTCCTTTTGAGTGCTGAGGTTTGCCAAAGAGGCAGTGAGTGGCAATCGTGTTTGGTCTATACTCTACTTTCAGCATTCATCTCCCATCCTGGGAGGATCCTCCCAACACCCTTTACTTGGTGTTCCCTTCTGTCTGAGCTGCCCTTTCCCCTAGCATATGCGGCTGGCCTTCAAGCCATGGAGTGAACCTCCTGGTACTTATCTCAACTATTCTTGGATGTTAGTCTCCTATTTTGTTACTTTATATTCCCCAGATGAATGCAGTCTTTCGGTCTGTCCCTCTCTTTCTGGCTCATTTCACTTAGCATGACACTTTCCATGTAGTACCACTTGTATGAAAATTTCATGACTTCAGGGCTGGAGAGATAGCACAGCGGGTAGGGCATTTGCCTTGCACACGCCCGACCTGGGTTCGATTCCCAGCATCCCATATGGTCCCCTGAGCATTGCCAGGAGTAACCCCTGAGTGCATAGCCAGGAGTAACTCCTGTGCATCGCCAGGTGTGACCCAAAAAGCAAAAAAAATAATCATGATTTCATCTTTTCTAACAGCTGCATAGTACTCCATTGTATAGATGCACCAAAGTTTCTCTAACCAGTCACCTGTTCTCGGGCACTCGGGTTTTTTCCAGATTTTGGCTATTGTGAAAAGTGCAGCAATGAACACAGAAATTCAGATGTCATTAGAAAGATTGCATTCATCTGGGGAACATAAAGTAACAAAATAGGAGACTAGCACCCAAGGGTGGATGAGATTAGTACCAGTAGTTTTGCTCCATGGCTTGGAGGCCAGCCACACACTCTAGGGGGAAAAGGGAGCTCAAATAGAGAAAGGAGCACCAAATAAAGGGTGTTGGGATGATCCTCCCAGGATGGGAGAAGCATGCTGAAAGTAGACTATAGACCAAACATGATTGCCTCTCAATGCCTCTTTTTCAAACCACAACACCCAAAACGAGAGAGAGAACAAAAGGGAATACCCTGCCACAGAGGCAGGGTGGGATGAGGGGATGGGGGTGGGAGGGATACTGGGACCCGTGGTGGTGGAAAATGGGCACTGGTGGAGGGATGGGTACTGAATCATTGTATAACTGAAAACCAAGCACACAAATTTGTAAGTCTACAACTGTACTTCATGGTGTTTCACTAATAAAAATTTAAAAAAAAGAAACACAGATGTCATTTTGGCTATACTTTTTTGCCTCTCCAGGATATATTCCCAGGAGTGGTATTGCTGGATCAAATGGGAGCTCAATTTCTAATTTTTTGAGAATCGTCCATACTGTTTTCCAAAAGGGCTAGACCAGTTGGCATTCCCACCAGCAGTGAAGGAGAGTCCCTTTCTCCCCATATCAGGATGTGCTCTTGGTTCTACTCAGGGTTCATACCTAAGGGTGCTCAAGGGACATATGGAATGCCAGGGATTGAACGTTGAGTCAGCGTGTACAAGACAAGTGCCCTACTGTTTTAGTATCCCTCTAGCCCCCCTAAATTTGTTTTTAAAAATCGGGGGACTATTCCTAGCCCTAGTAGTGGTGAGGGGACTATGCAGAGCCCAGGATTAAACCCAGGCTTCTTTCATGCAAAGCATGTGCTGTAGTCTGTTAAGCCATCTCTCCATCCCAAAACCACTTAAGTTGGAATGATGATAATAGTAAGTCAAGAAGAAATGCTATAGCCCTACTTTTGTAAAAGAATACATTTGTGGGGGCTGGAGAGATGGTATAGCAGGTAGGACACTTGCCTTGCCATGAAGTCAACTCAGGTTCAATCCTTGCCACCACATACTGTCCAGAGTCTAGCCAGGAGTGATCCCTTAGCACAGAACCAGGAAGGAGTAAGCCTTTGGCACAGCTGGGTGTGACCAAAACAAATAATACATTTGTGCATAGTATTAAAAGAACAGTCAAAATTATTAGGACAACTATGCACCAATGCAGTACTTGGGAGGATCAGGAGTCCCATCAGCAATTCTCAGCCAACCTGGCCCGCGGTTTAACTACAAGGGCCCAAGGCATCAATGTGTGAAAAACAAAGATCAGATTTTGGTTATAGAAGTTTTATTGACATATAAAGATGTTCACAATATAGTTACTGGGGAGAAAGCAAGTAACAAAACAGCATTTACAGTTTGATCATCTTTCAATTTAACTCTTCATGTATCTCAAAGCATGTAACCCTTCATTTTCATACATTTAAAAACACTCTTTATCTCAAATGTTCTAATTATCAACTGAGATCATAGTCATCGCTTCAAAATCCTGGGAATGTTTTCTAGACCATATAGTCTTCTAAGCACTACCATGTAAATAGAAGCAGTTTCTTTTCTAGATTTCCTGCATTGGGCTGATGAAACTAGTTATGCAATATCTCCAATCACTTTATCTTGTATGGTTTTAGGAGGTACAAAAGCAGAAAACTGACTTGCATACTAGTAAAACGTAGGGCCTACTGGCCTTTCGTATGATTAAGAATACATCACAAATGGTTTATATATAGCACAATTTTGCAAGGAAAAAGCAATTATCTTTTAAAATATAGCATACAAAACAATATATAGTATGATATCAGTTCTTTGGGAATAAAAGTACACACTGACAAAAAGATAGGAAGGATATATAGCTAACTTTCACTTGTTGATGTATCTATTGTATCTATTTAATAGTGTGAACTACTTGATGTTTCCTAGTTAGTGCCAGATCTTATCCATCCACTACTCATCCCAAACTCTTCTACTCTCCCCTATCCAGGTATAGCCAAATGTTTAACTGAGATGTGCAACTGGAGAAAGTTAAGAAATGCAAGGCCTTGTAGTAACCTCACAGCAAAACTGAATTGTTAAAATCATTCTATAGGCCTTCAGAGTCACTACCTAAAAGATGTAAAAAAGAACTGTAAGGAACATTTAATGAGAATACATTTTGGCATCAGACAAAATAGCTATGCCACCTGTCTGCTGTGGGGATATAGGAAAAATATCTAACTTACATAACTGTCATTGTAGTGTACCTAGTATGAGTTCAGTAATAATAACAATAATAACAACAATAATAATAATAATGCCAGTACCTAGCTCAGGATAATTATGAAGAGGGAAAAATTGTAAAATACAGTGCCAACAGTGTCTGATATAAGAGCAAGTACTTAGGAAATGTTTCCTCCCTTTACCTACTTTCTCTTCTGTGAGATGAATATAAAATAAATAGCCTAACAACCTAAGTTAAAAATGTAATAGCTAACTGAAAAATGAATATTACATTTTGAGATTCAGGGCCATTTCTTTGATATTGAATGAGTTGACTGATACCATCTCATTAGAATAGGGGGAAAACAGCAATTCCTCTTAAACACTCCCTACTAGTCCTCTGCTTCCACTGTGTGTTACGAGTACACTGTTGGCAATAAATGTGTGTTTGTGTGTGTGAATACCTATATACTACCAAGTTATCTTTTAGTGTAGACACGTCAGCTTACTGATGCAAGTAGGTTATATATTCAGGAATTAGGGATTTTTTTGCGATTTGAAGCCACAAACCTAAGTAGGTACTAATGAACAAGTTAGCTTACTTTTGTTGAACTGGTTCGCTATCTTCTTAAAATATTAAAATACACAAGACACACAAGATACCCAAAATACACAAGATAAAATTCAAGACATTTTCGGCTCACAATGTAATATTCAGTTGATACTCCAAAAATCATCTAGTTCAAACCTAGAAACTGTCACAGGTGACATTGTGTTAACAACACGACTTGTAATATGCACACTGTAATAGCCAAAACTTACACAAACTCTTTGGGAACAGATAGCCTATAGAGTTCAGAGACCGATCAAAAGTGTTTTTTCTTGTACTTCTGGGAGTTTAGAGACTGATCAAATGTTTTAATTTCTGGCTCATTTACAGAGTTTCAATAATCATTTTAACTTCACGGAAAATGGCCATGAGTGTATTGTAACTCTGGTGATCCACAACAACAATCGAGCCCTTTCTGATATGCTCTTTTATGTTAATAAATATGGCAACGGCACTAACAAGATTGGCCTTTGCCTCCTTCTGGTTAAAGATGAGTTTTAATGCTGCCAAGGCCTTTGTATCGATCATGTCCCTGGCTGCAGCTGGATTTTCAGACATATTCAAGAGAACTTTCAGAACAAGATTTCTGGTCTTACGATTTCCTGTGGACAGCAAATTGAAAAGCTCCGTAAAATAATTGGCAACAATGTGGTGATGGTTAGAATTAGTAGTCAGTTGCCCAAGTATTTTTAATCCAGACTGCTGTCCAGGCGAGTTCAACGGAAAAGACATGGTTTCCTTACACATATGCTTAACGTGTAATTCAACCTTGCGCTCTCTTTCATCCCCAGAAGGGGGATTTAGAGTAATCACAGCCTTTTTTCTCATTTCAGAGGAAGGAAAACTGAGCAAGCTTTCGATAAGTGTCACCACGCCCACATCATTAATGAACTCCTGGGCAAATGGATGAACGTTAATGATCCCCATAGCAATTTGAGCTATTTTGTGAATGAGAGGATCAGTAGTTGACTTCAGTAAGGTAACAAGTTTTTCAAACTCCTCAGAATCCATATAGCATTCCATTTTGCAAGGGCAAGCAAATGGCTTAATGCCATTCATCTCTCTGATCCTGATTTGGCGTCTGATCTCCTCTATAGTCTGAATGCAAGGCTCAGAGCCAAAAGGATACTCAGGAATAGACTGTGAACATGTGGAAGTGCTCCTAGGAGGGCAGGCTGCTGCCGCTGCTGCTGCCCCTTCAGGCACAGAATGATGACTTTCATCAGCTGAGGCCAGGACAATATACGAAGGAGGCCTTGGCTCAGACGTAGTTTGGGATCTAAACCCTAATACTGCTGGAGTTACAGCAGGGGCTTTAGGCCAGATAGTTACCTCAGACCAATCCTTGGGCCTATTTTTTTCATTAATTTCATCAATAGGCTGGGGCTTAATGATCCTGCTCACAGGTTTAGGATTAGGATCAAAACTGGTTTCATCACCATCCCAAAACCAGCTCCCAATAACATTCTCTTCCTCTTCGTCCTCACCTCCTGCCTTTGCCTTGTAACCAGTTGCACCCAGAGTCTCAGACTTATCAGCACTGTACTGGGCACTGATATCCTTAGTTTTACCTCCATTCTTAACACTGGAACGGTTACCAGCTTCTTCTCCATTCCAGATCCAGGGCCCAACACTGGAATCGTCCCCACCCCATAACCAGGCATCAATACCAGACTTCTCTTTACATATGGTTTTACCAGACTTATCTTTACTTTCAGCTCTGGGCTCAGTCACAGAACAAAGCTGAGGCTTTTTAGTGGCCTCATCTTCAAACTTGGAACTTTTATCTGACTTTGTTCCTTTCTTCTTCTCAGTAACAACCCTATTCTTAGACCCAGCCTTCATCTCTGCCTTGGCATCTGCCTGAGATATGGCCTTGGCTGCTGATTTAGCGTGGGTCTTAGCTGCAGATGTGGCTGCAGCTGCTGCCGCTGCAGCAGCTGCCGCAGCAGTAGCTGCAGCAGCAGCCGCTTTCTCGGCTTCAGCTTTTAGTGCAGCCTTTTTCCCACGTCTTGCCTTGTTTCTACGTCCATTCCTACCCCCACTCATGATTAAAGCCCAGTTATATAGAGAGCTCTATATAGTAAAGTTGATGTGTTAATACACTTTCACTAGGTCAGAGATAAGCTTTGTAGCAAGAGTTAGTTCACTGTTAGCAGATACACTTTCCAGGAAGCTGCAGTCAATGATCAAGACCACTTCAGACTGAGGGATGATGATGGATTCTTAGTGCAGTTCGATTGGCAGTGATACTCTTCTGCCACTCCAAAAACAGTACAGTCACCAGTGGAAATGAACCTAGGGTAGAAAAAGGAAATCAGCGTTGAGTATTTTTTTCATCAAATGCGTGGCTCTAAGTGGACACACACACACACACACACACAGGAGGACAGGAAACAGTAAAGATGCATTGTGCGACAGAAGTGGAATAAAAGACAGTCTTCTTTTAACATAAGCCTGTTACTTCATTTTATCCCTTTTACACTCCTATTAGTGCCTAACAAGGTTCTTTCCTGATACTACCACATTCATTTCCTTGTATCAAATAGGAACAGAAACGTGAAAGTTTGTTGAGAACGAGGGGGGCTAAAAATATCCAGCTTCTCTACGCACAACATTATTTTAAATCTATGAAGTCTGACACTTACCTGCACTGATCTGGCACAATTCTCCTTCCTTGCTCTCAGTGTTGTTAAATCCCAAGCAAATTCATAGGCAGACCTATGTACAAAACATACAGGAGGGATTGAAATTTAATGTGGTAACTGTCACCTCTGGTTTCAAAACCCAATATGAGAAAAAAGATGTCTGGAAAATTGGAAGATTGTCTCTAAAACATGATCTGGTTCCACCCATTTACCAACTAAGCCCCATTCTCAACAGGGATACTCAGGCTCACACTTACCTGGGTTCCAAATGAAGAGTAATTGATGAAAGTCTTCTTAATTACATTCGAAGTAAACAGGCATCCACAGATTTCTAAAGGAACCTATGAATATAAAGTAACACTTATGAATTAAAATAACAGACAACAGAAAGCACAAGAAATTGAGATGTCCTAATATCATCTGAAAAGGGTTGTGACACATACATTTGATATTCAATGTCACATTTTCTCTCACCTCTCTGCTATCACCTGATGATTTGCCATACATTCCCCCAAAACCTGCAGCTTGTCTAATTATGCCTCCTTCCAACACAAATCCAGCAGTGAGAGATTTTTTTACCCTGAACAAAAATATGAGGCCCCAAAATAGAGAGTGGAACACAGGTATCTTAGTTAGAAATAAGGTAGGGAGGATAATAGGAATTATAATTTCAATACCATTTTTGCACACCCCTACCCTTTCATCCATATGAAGCTCATACCTCAGTCACCACATCTGCCCACCAGCAGGGGGCGCAGGAGACGCTTTCTTTTTCGCCAACGCAATTCTCTAGCTGGAAAAGAATCACGCCCTGCAGAAAGAGGGAGGGGCATTTAGAAAAATACCAAGCGATTATAATGCCAACATTAGAAAAAATATCAGGTTAATAAAAAAAACCCCGAAATTCATGTCGTGCATCTCCTTTCCAAGAGCCAGAAGCTAAGAAAATGTTTTCGCCAACCTCTACAGTGATCCATGAATTTTTGATGTAGCAGCTTCTCATCAAGCAGCTACAAAGGTCCGATGGAGATGAAATTTTTCGGAACAACACATCGACGCAGATTAATCTCATGATTTCTAAATGGACCCTTCAGAATGTTTTCTCCTCTATTCTAAAATAACGCCTCCCAACGTAGATTAAGCAGGAATACTGAGAAGCTCAAAGAAAATAACGGGTAAATATGTCTGTATTTATTTACGTGGACCCTTCTGGTAGCGTCGATCAACCCCTCGGCCTTTCAGACTGAACTAAATTGGAGGCAAGACCCAAATAGGCAATAATACAGTGGTCTATGGTCTATTAGAAGTCACAGAACTATTTGCAACTATTTGCTTCTGGTGTCTTAATAACCCACTCACAGCTGCCCTTGGCTGATGAACGTGCCAGACCGAATACGCAACATGTGGGAAGAGACAGCATCCGAGCCGCGGAGGCCCCACAAGATCCTTTCCAGAAACTCCGACTGCGGAGCCAAGGACCCCGCCCTGCCTTTCCAGACCCTTCCCCCACGAAGGGCCGCTCCGCTCCGCCATTTCTCCCGTGGCAGCCTCCCCCACGGCCCTCCGGGCGCAGACAACATCGAGGGCGGGGCGCGGGCGCCTGCAGCGCTGGCCAAGACGCCGCCTGCGCGCTTGGCTCCCAGGCGATTTGGGGGCGCTTCTGGCCGGCCCGAGCCCTGGGCCCGGCCCGCGGCTCTCGCCGCCTCCTCGCCGCCAGGGTCCCGCCGCCGCACCCCTCTCCCCCGGACCCGACCCTCGCCCCGCCGCTCCCCCCGCGCCGGCCCACCGAGGGCCGCGGGCGGCTGTCAGCCTGCCAAGGCTGGAGACCACCCTCCTTCGACTCCTGGCCGCCGACGCCCCTACCTGCCTCGGCGGGCCCCAGGCCCAGGCCTGCCCCTCGTCCCGGCGCGCCTCGCTCAGCCGACCGCCAGCGCTCCCCGCTTTCCGTGTGGCCAGGACCGCAGAGGCGCGCCGCCCCCGACTCTCGCGCACCGCTGCACCAAACTGGGCAGGGGCTGCGCACACTGCGACACAAACGGCTCGCGAAGAGGGTGTCGGGAAGGGGGGCGGAGGGATACTGCGTGAAAGGGCTCGGCGCCCCCTCCCAGGCCCACCGCAGTTCCGACCCAGAGGGGGCGGGGCCGCGAGGAGTTTCCAGCCCAGAGGCGGGATAACCCGCGATTGCCTCAGTAGACTGGCCCCCAGATATCTACGTGGCGACCACCCTTCGCTTTCCTGGCCTTTCAAGATGTTGGATCACCCATGATTGGCATTGGGGGGCCACAATATGCAGTTTGGGAGGGGCTGCGCTGGAGACTCGCGGATGGATACCAAAACGCCCCTCTGTGTGTGTATGTTATGTGAACCCCCACACCACTTGCATGTCTGACCAGCTTCCCCTCCCCCATCAGGATCGCCATATTTTCTTGAACGGAAAAGGGGGTGTCAGTACACCAAGCTGGAAGGAGAGAGCAGCTTTAAAATCAGATTGTCCTGAAGGTTCTGGGAGTGGGCTTCCAAAGTTTCTCATTGCTTTTGGGTGGCATCCAGTGAAAATGGGACGGAGCTCCACTATGGGGGGTGGGCGGCGGGGGCGGGGTATCAGAGCCTATAATCCTAGAAGACAGACCACCGGCTGTTCCAAGTGGTTTCTTCCACCGTGCTTCTTTCTGCCAGTTTGTCCATCTCCCTCCCCAGTCTCTCCTCTCCCTCTCTTATTTGAAATGGTAGCACATTTTGTCATCTGGAGGAGAGCCAGATAGTTTCCCAGAAAGAGGGCCTCTCCTTGTCAAGGCCAGCACTGGGTCAGACAACCTCCCTTTCTCTCAGCCCACAGCTAAATCACAGGCATCTCATAGATTTCCTCTTGTAGTATCCGAAAGAAAAGGGGCACTCCCCACAAGAAAGTCTCAAGATGTTCTAGCTGGTCTTGATCTCTCCCCCCTTTCTGCCCATTACATCAGTCCTGAATGTGTAATTTTGTTTTTTCACTTCACCTCCCAAGCAGTGATCACTAAATAGAACTGTTTAGATTGTAAATTCCAAGAAAAAAGGCCCCCTTTGAAGTTTATTATTCTCAGTGCCACAAAGAGTTGAAAGAGATGTGTCAGAATTTTATGGTACTATCTATTGGCTGCAGGTCAATGCACGTATCTATCTCTGTACCTTGTATGTAGCCCAGACCTAACCTAGAGATCACAGTGGATACTTTGTATTGGCTTTTGGGGCACAACTGGCAGTGCTCAGGGCTTACTCCTTGACTCTGAGCTCAGTAAACATTCCTGGTGGGGCTCAAGGGACTATATGAAGATGGAACTCAGGTCAGCTATGTTCAAGGAAGGTCCCCAAACCACTCTATGATGGCTCCAGCCATGCAGGGGATAGTTTTTTTATGTGATTCTCAGTGGAGGAAAGCCAGGAAGAGGGAAGTATGGAGCTATGAACCAACTCCCGAAACAAACAGTTTTGTACTAATACTTTCATTTAAAATGGAAGTCACAAAGCAGGGCTGGAGCTATAGCACAGTGGGTAGGGTGTTTGCCTTGCAAGCGGCCAATATGGCCGACCCGAGTTCGATTCCTCGGCCCCTCTCGGAGAGCCCAGCAAGCTACCGAGAGTTATCTTGCATGCACGGCAAAGCCTGGCAAGCTCCCCGTGAAGTATTCAATATGCCAAACACAGTAACAACAAGTCTTACGATGGAGACGTTACTGGGACCGCTAGAGCAAATCGATGAATAACGGGAGGACCGTGACCATGACAAAGGTAAAGGTAAAGGTAAAGGCCCTGCCGTTGATCGTCGATTTGCTCGAGCGGGCCCAGTAACGTCTCCATTGGAGACTTTGTTGTTACTGTGTCTGGCATATCGAATACTCTCGGTAGCTTGCCGGGCTCTCCGAGAGGGGCGGAGGAATCGAACTCGGGTCGGCCATGTTGGCCGCTTGTAAGGCGAATGCCCTACCCGCGACCATGACAAAGAAGAGGACGAAATCCATAGCTTATTTTGTTATTTTTATTCACTTTAAGGTCCCTCAATCTGACAATTAATATGTAAATTAGAAGGTCAGTCTCAGAGAGCCCAGCTAGCTACTGACAATATCTTGCCCACAGGGCAAAGCCTGTCAAGCTACCCATGATGTGCTCAATATGCCAAACACAGTAATAACAAGTCTCACAATGGAGACGTTACTGGGCCCACTCGAGCAAATTGATGAACAATGGGAGGACAGTGCTAAAGAAGGTCATTGTCCTAGCTAGAATAAAATTAGTTTTAATTGCTTGGTACACTACTTTTTGATGAATAATAACACAGGATCTGATTTTTTATGTTTTGTTAATTTTTTTAGTTTGGGGATTCACATTCAGTGATGCTCAGGGGTTATTCCTGGATCTGCACTCAGGAATTACTCCTGGCAGTGCTCAGGGTACCATATTTGATGCTAAGGATCAAATCTGGTTGGATAGACAGTATAGCATGTAGGCCGCATGCAAGGCAACCACCCTAC